ACCATTTCCACCAACAACAATTTCACCTTCTTCTTTTCCTTCACACCAACGCATTATTCGATGATTCTCTTCATCTGCCACATAGATTTGACCAAAATCATCAACAACTACTCCTTCAGGATGATACAACTGATTAAGATTTTCTCCATAATCATTTCCGCCAGCCACAATTGTTCCTTCTTTTGCATCTTTTCTCCATTTCATCACACGATGATTATCTCTATCTGGTACATAAACAGATTGATCTTCATCAACAAAGATAAAACGAGGAGAATTGAGTTGATTGAGTTGATCTCCTTTTCCATTTCCGCCTGCTACTACAATTCCTTCGTTGTTGTATTCTCCAATTCTCCATCGTCTCACTTCATTCTTCACCCAATCAGAAACATAAAGAAATCCATGTTTATCAATTGCCAAACCATAACAGTAAATATTTTCAATGAGAATTTGTTGAGTTTGATTCATCCATTGAATTACTCGTCCGTTTCCATAATCAGCAACAATGATTGAATAATTTTGTTGATCAACAATCACATCTGTTGGATAATACAATTGATCCATTTGATTTTCCTTGCCATTTCCACTTGCAATGATTTGTCCTTCTTTTGCATTGTATTTCCATTCAACAATACGATGATTATAATGATCAGCAATGAAAATATTTTTGCTTTCATCAATGAAGATTCCAGAAGGGTAATAGAGTTGATTTAATTGTTGTCCTTGTCCATTTCCACCAGCCACAGTGATGGCATTTTGTTTCCATTTAAGATTGATCTTATCTAAAACGGATGAAATTTATAGGTTCATATATCTTGAGACTGTAGATAAGAATGCTGCATCGATCATCCACCGAGATCCACTTACTTTCCACTGGGTGTGTGGGTGTGAGTGATGGTTGGTGTTTCTTGTTCATTCTTACCGTCACCCTCACCTACACCACCTCACTCTCAGGATTTTTTCTTAACCACAGTATGCCGATATTGATATATCCCTCTCAAAGGTATATCCAAGTGTCCCCCTTTTTTTCATCTTTAGCGTGTGTCTTTTGTTTGTTCATATGTCCAACTCTCGTTCTCTCATCTAGCTGTACTTGTGTTGTAAGCGAGCTAGTCACATTCTGGACATATGGAGTCATCAACAAACATCGCAGTGAGGGCAGCGGTAAAGCCACTCCTCCAGTTCGTCGTTACAACAGGTGTAACGAAGACTTCGGAACTAATGGCTGACAGTGTATCTATGTGTCCACGAAAACTAGTCGATTGTCACAGCAATCATTGTTGCAAGTTTCTCTGCTTGTAAAATACATGTGCACATCAAAGAAAAATAACAGATCACAAAAGAAGAAAACGATTTACCAAAATGTAATAACGATAAAAGATAAGAGATCGTCTGCTCGACTCGAGTACACGGAAGATAGCTGGTTACAGAATTTAGACGAATACGTTTTCGGTGTAAAGTCTTTTTATTGTATATAGAGTTTTCAGCGGTGGGCATTAGAGAGCTATGAGTTTGGATGCATAGATTAAACTTCAGATCCGATTTGCATTCAGATTGGGGTCAACTTTATATTGGTTGTATTCTGTAAATAACCAATAAATAGCTGAAATTTTGATCCTTTACTTAGTCTAGCAGATATAGAGTGTCAGATGTTACTGAAAAAATAATTCAGATATGATCCGGGTCCGAGTCTATAGAAACGTGAATCCACAGCTGTGTAGTGGACATCGGTTCTATGATGCAAATAATAGGATTTATATAAGCAGTTTCTTTAATCTCCTTAAGAACTTTTCCGAGGGATAATGGTTATCGACATGAAGTAAAGGTGTAATTAGCATTCATTTATTCTGATCTCTCTTATGTTGGCGCTAATCCTGCGAGTACGAATCAAAATGTTGCCCAGTTTGTTTTTGTTAAGATGAGAAGCTCAACAAAATTCATCATCAAGTTAGATGTTCTTATATTGATTATTCCTTTCGTGATATTTAGCGAGTTGAAAAAGCAGTAATTCAAAGCTCACCTGGCTGCGAAGTGGTGGATGTAGTTGAAGTTGTAGTTGTAATTAAAGTTGGGTTTGTTGTAGTATTGGACACTATTCATTAAGATAAAATATTTATGTAAGCGAAATACTTAGTTTTTAGTCTATTTTAGAATGGGAGATGAGTTCGGTAAGTCTCAGTTTTGAATATATTTCAAGCAGAGTTCCAAAATAGTGCAATACTATAAAACAGGGTGAAAATCAAATTTATTTTTTAAAAAACTGCTTTTGATGGTAAGGTTCTTTATATATGTAAACTCGCAAGCAGAATGCTCAGACCAAACGCTCGGTGCGTCACTATGTCTTGTTCGATAAAAGAGCAATATATTCTGCATTTATGACTAATAAATATCGTCTCGAAGATGACCAGAAGTAACAGCTTTTCTTCAAAACTACAATTCAGTTAATCTGCTCTTTCAAGAAACCGTCGAATTTTCTTTTCTATTCGCACAACATCGTTGACTATCTGTGCGAGAGTTGTGTGAATGATGAAGAAGTGCCTTTCAAGAACACTTCGAATATCACTTGAATTTGTAGATCGGTATTTATTCTCTTACTTGTCATCGTTGGACAATATGGTTCACCGGCTATCGAAATCGGATAACAAATAGGATGTGCATGGCATATAGGATGATGCACACAGATGTGACCAGGTTCATAACAAACGTTGTTTGAAGATGCACATGGAACAAATCCAGAACAGGGCAGATGCTTAAATCCGCAAATACCAGCGTTAATAGCACCTGGCATGTGCATACAGCCGCAGGCACTATTCAGTGAGCATTGACCATACTGAGAAATTCCATGACACATTAGAGAATTCACTCGAATTATTGGCATGCTAAATAAATAAAGAGTAAAACAAGAATCAAAGTAGTGAGCCTTGAACGAAAGATTCTTCATCGTTTGCTAAGGAAGAAAAAAAAGACTATATTACCTGAAAAAAACGAATAACAAACATTGAATTGCTGTTGGATTCATAGCTTGTGTTGAATTGAAACAAAATCGTATCGGTATCCTTTATATAATTATATCTAATACGTAGGTACTCTTTTTTTCTTTCACCGAAAATCAAGCGACGCACGACTTAAACTTTTAACACCCAGAAATTCGATATTACTTTAATATTTTCTCATATACTTATTCTTTTCTCCGATAAAATAAGTTTCGCTGAAAAAAAAGCGCTATGATAATAACATTTGATTGATATCTGAGAAGGATAAAGGGGGCGAGGGACTAAAGCTCGTTTCGATGGATGTGAGTGTAGGTGTGGATGAACAAGCCACCAATGCCCAACCAACACTCACACTCGTCCTTGTTTGACAAGAAAAAAGAGTTTCAAATTTATATTTTTTAAACATCAAAATTTTGGATAGAGAGATTTTTTATTGAGAGACATTTTATTTTTGAAACAAACTGACAAATATTTAATTTAAAGAGAAAAGAAATGAAATTGAAAATGAGAAAAGATTTTGTTGATACTTTTTTGTTGGATAAATTTGATAATGAAAAAAACGAAAATAATTTTAATTAAAAAGTTTGTATAAAATAAAATAAAATAAAGTAAATTTCATTCTTTGATTTTTAATAATCTATTTGATTTTGTTATTTATTTGAATTTACCATGTTTTATAGGAATATCTAGAAAAATATTCTTATCAAACCTGTCAATAAGAATAAAATCTTTTTTAAACAATAATGAAAAATTTCTCAAAACTCGACATTTTTATATTTGTCTTTTATTTAATGAAATTTATAAATATAGAACGTCTCTTAATTTCATTATGATAATTAACATATTGAAAATATCAAAGAATAAAGAAAAAAATAGTAAAAGGGTGTGGGTGGTGATGATCAATGATTTTATTTAAAAACATATGATTATTCATATAATTCTTAAGAAAAGTACATTTTTATGATAAAACTATAAATAATTTAGATGTTTTTTTGAGAAATTCTTGATATACTTATTGTTTTTTTTTAAACCACAAAATAAAAAAACCTTACTCGAGACGAATAAAATGGTCATATGATTATTTTACATTGATGCATTCTAAAAAATTTTACTATAGAAAGATAGCCCGTCTTTTTCTCTACAAAATCACATAATTTGATGAATTATTATATATAAGTTTGTCATAGAAAAAGATCCATCTTTGATAAAGGGTCGAAACTTACGAAACACCCTTTATGGCATCGACAGAGTGAATCGTTTATCACGTGTAGAAGTTTAATCATGGATGTTGTTCGAGGATTACAAGCCAGTTCAACGATTATGGCCAGTTGTAAAACCTGATAAATATTCGTAAATAATTTTACTGAAATTTTAACAACGAAATTAATTTCTTTATTATTCTAGATATACATCTGATGCATGGTAAGTGTCGACAACAAATACCAACAGTCGGAAGTAGTTAGTGATAGTTTATTTTAAAAAAAAGTATTCATAATATCTTGATCTGACGGAAATAATATTTATCGATAAATATTTCTGTTATTCATAGAATCTAGAATGCAATTAATCTACCTATTGGTAATTATTTACTTCTCTTTCGTGTGTTTAATGCAAACATATCATTAGCGATAATATTGCTATTGTTTCATGTGCTTGTCCTTCGCCCAGAAAATTCTCTTCTTTCTTTCTCATGTGATTTTGATCATTCGACTATGGGTGATCTGGTTAACGCCAAATCGACTACTACATCTGCAAATCATTTCACAATATTTACTGGTGATACAGTACCAAATAAGCATCTTGGCCCAACACGAGATCATACAAGTAATTCAACCACAGGTGATTTTCTCCATTGGAATCCACAATATCCATTAACTGTCAAAGATATTGATCACGCATTCATTTTAAAAACCATTGTATTCGATTATGATATGTTAAATTCTTGTGAAGTAACACTGAATATTTATGTCACTAATTCTGTTTCAGTACCGATATCAGTTGCTTTTAATGATACAGAATTCGATCAATGTAGCATTCTTCCACCAACGACAATTTCGACAATAACAACAACTATAACACAATCATCTTTAACGATATCAACATCAGCATTTGCTTCAACAACTCGAAGTAATGCTCATCAAGTATTGTCGTCAACTGCAACTGAGTTGATGTTGATGATATGTCGAAGAGACTTTTATCGAAGTTTAATAACTTAAATATTAGATTTTTCCTTTCTGTTTAATTATTTCGTTTTTTAATCTATAATAACATTAAAATAAATTATTTTAGAAAAACAATCCTCCGATGGCATGTTATATTTGGATTTCTTATAAATAACTAAATAGAAAACATAATAGTCGAAAATCAATATCAACGAAGAAAAAGCGAATCCATTTTTCTTGAGGGTGTGGGTGTGGGCGTTGATGTGAGTGTGGTGTGTGGGTGTAGGTGTAGGTGTGGGTGTGGGTGTGGTGTGTGTGTGAATATTATTTGTGGCATATAACACACTCACACCCACACCCACACCCTCACCCTCACCCTCAAGTATTTATAATGTTTGTTTTATCTTATTCATTTTACTATTTGCTTCATACCATAAAGCTGCTCCAGTTGTTAATGCTCCAATCAACTCCCAGATTGCCACACCAATAAAACCTCCTGGTGCATGACCATTCTTAATAGCCAAAATGAACACAGTAACTGTTACTAATCGAAAAACAACAGTAAATTGATAGAATTTTGTCCATTGATTCCATGCTGCTAGTAAATAATAAATACCCATATTAAGTGAAGCCATCGATGAGCAAAGTAGAAATGCTATGGTATAATCACCATTTTGACGCGTTGATCGATCAAGAACAATAAAGTTCATTAGGTTTAAAATTGTTTCAGGGCTTATTAAACCAAGTAGACCTACTAAGATAGCCAGTAAACCAAAGACGAATATGGTCCAGTCAGATACAGTTCGAAGCATCCTGTTGCCCTATGATATGTAAAATGAAGTACAGAGTAAGTCATAAATATCTTTATGATAAAAAATGTGAGTATCCATTACGGCTCGAGCAAATGAGCTGATTATTTTTATCAGTGATAGAAGTATATTCCAGGTTTATATTTAGAAAGACTGTTTGTTAAGTATATTGTTCTTTTTCAACTTGTGAAGAAGGAAATTCTTTTTGTTGAGGTCAATAGTGATGCTTAAAAATGCTCTAGCCGTAATAGCGATATTTAAACTTTTTATCGTAAAAATATTTATGGCTTACTACGTATATTCTTGGTGATACAATAAAGAAAAAACATACCAAAAAAAACGTTAGTGATGGTGTAACTTGCTTTGGAAGGATGGAATATTTTTTTCTCGCGTGCGATTGAGTCGTTCTTTAATTTTTTTTCATCGTTCTGTTAGCGTTACGTGACAGAACGAGAGAACCCTCTCTATTTTTCATTCTATTCCTATCACGCCATGCAAACACTAACAACTACCAAAAGCAAAAAAAACAGAGGACAAACTTCGATTGAAAAATCAAATCGTTGAAGTAATTTTTATCAAATTGAGGGTGGATGTGAGTATGGATATGAAAGGAGTACAACACCCACGGCTATACCTATACCAACCCACACCCACTTCTCTTTTTTTCTTCTACTAAAGTCCAACAAAAGATGAAGAATTTAACATTTACACGAATTTTATTAAATAAAATTTTCAAGATAAAAACAAAAAGATTTTTCTTCGTTTTATTCTTATCAAAAATTGATTCGATTTTTACACTGATTTTTAGCAATAAAACTTTACGTCTTTTTATCTTTATTTTTCCATATTTTATTTAACAAATTTCTTTTCTTTTTTTTAAATTCTAAGTTTTATTCACAAAATTATTTCAAATTTTTCAATTCGATGATTCAGACAATCAGCTACATAAAGATTTCCTTCATCATCAAAGGATAAACCCATGGGACTATTTAATTGATTTGATTGGTTTTTATAATCATTTCCACCAACAACAACTTCACCTTCTTCCTTTCCTTCACACCAACGCATTACTCGATTATTCCCATAATCTGCTACATAGATTTGACCTAAATGATCAACAATGAGTCCTTGAGGATAAGACAGTTGATTAAGATTTCCTCCTTGACCATTTCCTCCAGCCACAATTATTCCTTCTTTCGCATCTTTCCTCCATTTCATTACATGATGATTCTGTCTATCTGATACATAAATAGATTGATATTCATCAACAAAGATAAAAGTAGGACTATTGAGTTGATTCAGTTGATTTCCTTGTCCATTTCCACCTGCCACTACAATTTCTTGATTGTTATATTCTCCCATTTTCCATCGTCTCACTTCATTTTTTTTATAATCAGAAGCATAAAGAAATCCATGTTTATCCATTGTCAAGCCATGACAGTGAATATTCTCAATGAGAATTTCTTGATATTGATTCAACCACTGAATTACTCGTCTGTTTCTACAATCAGCAATGATGATCGAATGATTATGTTGATCAACAATCATATCCGTTGGATAATTCAACTGATCCATTCCATTTCCTTGTCCATTTCTACCTGCAATGATTTGCCCTTCTTTTGCATTATATTTCCATTCAACAATACGATTATTCCGAGTATCAGCAATGAAAATACTTTTGTTTTTATCAATAAAGATTCGTTCAGGGCGGTTGAGTTGATTTAATTCTTGTCCTGGTCCATTTCTACCAGCCACAGTAATGGCATTTTGTTTCCATTTATTGAATTTTGATACTAGAAAATAATGAAAATAAAAGATTTTTATGTTGAATTTTGCAGGATTTTACTGAAAAAGAAACAAATCACTCAAAATTTTTCATTTAGATAATAAATGAAAATTTTTTTTGTTGATTTATTTGTTATTAAACAATAATTTGAGAAAGGGAATTGTTTTAGAAAATTTGCGAACAAAAAAATACAAATAAATTTGATAGTGAACAAACGAAAATAATTTGAATTGAATGATTTATATAAAAATGAAATTAATTACTGGATATTTGAAATATTTAAATGAAAATAATTTTTTTATTATTTTAAAAAAATAAAGTAGTAAAAGACGACTAATAAAACAAATTATTCGACTGAACTCGAATAAACCAATCGAAATCAAACAAGATGAAAAAGAAGAATTAAACAATATGATAAAGATTTCTAAAATAATCTTGAGAGTGTAAGTGTGGGTGGATGCAGTTATTCGATTTCATTCACACCCACACCCACCCTCAAGATTTTTTCTTTTAGAAAATAATTCCTTGAAAACTTACTTTTCGATGAAATAATTGAAATTTCATTGATAAATGATTGTGAATCTTGCTGAATGGAAATATTTGATGAGTTATTTAATTTTTGTGTAATTTCTATTAATTGATTTTTTAAATAGTTTAAATTAATTTCATTAAATTCATTTTCGTTATAAATTTGTTTTATTTGTTCAGATAAATCATTAAATTCCATTTCAATATCTTTTATAAATCTTTGTGAAGAATTGATAAGAAGTTCTCTGCATTCTTGTGCTTTTTGTTGAATTTTCTCAATTGAATTTATTTCCCATTGATTAATTTGTTTTATTAATGAATGATTATACAGATTCTCTTTTTGTTCATTAATTGTTTGTTTAAATTGATCATAATCATTAATAATATGATTTAATTCTTCATTCAACATTTGTTGATGTTCTGTTAAATGCATTAAACAAAATCTTTTTAAACATCCTTCACAAGAATATGTTATTTTTTCTTTATTACATGCAAAACATTGTGTTTTGTTGTTTGCCATTGCCATGTCTTTGAATAGAAATCTACAGAAGAAATGAATATCTCCTTATCTACGTTTATAGTTATAAACGTAATAGTCCAATAACAATAAAAGCATTGCCTGGTAGTAGAAGAAACCAAAAAAAGAATTTTTTTTATGACAAAATCTCGCTGATAAAACTGATGTAATATCTAAGATGGTTAAATAAAAGTTGGAAATCGATTTCGTTTTTAATGTCAGATAAAAATTCAAATGATTTTTATTATATTTATTCAATGAAAGAATGTTTTAATGTAAATTTGGATGTACGTAAAGATTAAACATAGATCTGCACCTACAATTTTATTCTATAGATGAATGATATATCAGTCTCTCATCCATTCAAATGCAATTTCATGTTCACATTCATCATCATCTTCGTTTTCAAAATAGTTATTGTGTGATAATCTATTTTGTTTATTTCCATATTATTTCAAAAAATAAACCCACCAGAATGAAACTATTTAAAAAATTGAATTTCTAAACTTGTCATGTTTTGTAATTACTTCGATATAAATAAGAATTTCACAGGTCTCACGTTGAATTTCTTTTGTGTTGATTAATTTTTTCTAACTGTTTTGAAAAAGGAATCTAACGAAAAAGCATTTTTCTATTTGATCAAATGGATTTTTAGTGTTTCATAATGAGACAACATTGAAAAAACTGAAAAGTAAATAAAACGGAGAAAATAAAATTTTCGAAAGTTGAAAATAATTTCAACGTGCTCTCCAATTTTTTTTCTCTACGTCTAGTATTATTTCACTTTGCTATTGCGCTTGCTTTTCTCCTTTTGCTACTGAACAACTTCTGCACTGTTACGATCTAGTGGTCATCAGTTTATCCAGAAAAGAAAAAACTTTCGACTAAAAATAAATGTTGTGAAGCACACATAAAAAAATGTGAGTGTCAGTTATAAGTTCTGGTTTTGCGTGTGTATGGATGGATGGATGAATGAATAAAATCTGCAATATTATTCGCACCCATTGGGTGTGTTACTTCCTCTTTATTTTCAAAATAAAGATTACAAAATAAAGTAAATCTTTATATGTATGAAATAAAGAATTAAGATATATTTTTTCATGCAATAAATACATACGCAAATATCCTGAATAACAACAAAATACATTTATTAACGCTCTTTCTTATCATCATCATCATTTCCATATGACATGTCATCAGAAAAAGGACACACAAGAAACGATATATACGGAAAGTGTGATTCCATATTATTGTTGACTATATAATATCATAATTTTTTTGAGCTACTCTAAGAGAATAAAGATAAAGTAACACCCTTACTCGCCAGTGACGGCGTAAAGGAGAAAAAACATACAAAAAAAAACGTTAGTGATGGTGTAACTTACTTTGAAAAGACTGAATATCTATCCTCGCGTGTGAGTGAGTCGTTCTTTTTTTTTCATCGTTCCGTCAGCGATACGCGGCAGAACGAGAGAACTCTCTCTATTGCTTTTTCTATTCCTTTCATATCACGCACCCACTAACAACTACCAAAAGCAAAAAAAAACAGGGGACAAACTTCCATTGAAAAATCAAATCGTTGAAGTAATTTTTATCAAATCGTCATGGCAAGCACAGATGTTCAAACAGAAGAGATATCTCCACTGGAACAACATTATTGGTATATTTCTTGAGGGTGAGTATCGGTAAAATAAGAACACAGCACCCACCCTCTATATACCTCCATTCGGTATGAGTCTACAAACTAAGTCCATATTTTACCGTAGAATAACAGAGTATGAATACTGTAAATTTTTCACTTTTGATAATTTTAGACCTTCGATGATAAGGCATCTCTTTTTTTAACACATTCAGTACGATTCGATTTTCCTAAATAGCAGCTCTACACACCACTCACTTCTTTTCTGTCTTTCTAGTGCTATTAATAATCGAACGAATGTGAAAAAGAACTTACCGCTAAACTAACCTACAACATCATCGACTAATGCATACATTAGTGTGCTTCACTGTCGATAGAAATAAAAAGTAATTCACGAGGGACGCTTTTCAGGTAACGCCTTTCGTTTTTATTCACTCGTATCGCATTCGATCGAGTATATTGACATAACAAAAGCCTAAAACGATTTCTTTCTATGACTCTTTCTTTAAAAACTATTGCTGTTTTATTAAATTTTCCACCCATTCCAAGCTATTTATTGAAAAAATCAAATTATAAAGTTTCGGCCTTAAATTTTACCCGTAGATAAATTTTAGTTAAAAATAATGGTCCTTTCTCTAGATATTGCATCTTCAAGTGAGCTCAGTTTTTGTGATCAGTCTGTTGCAAGCGACTATATTTTAATAATTCATTATTTCGAGAAAGGGACATTCTAAGATTCATTAAACCTACCTATGAACACAATTTTTCGTTAAATACCTAGGAACGGATCGAAAATTCAATAAAATGGCTATAGCTTTTGTAGAAAGGGACATGGGGAGAAATCGTTTTAGAATTTTGACTATCTCAATACACTCGATCGAATGAGATACGAATAAACTACAATAGAGGGTGTCACTCTGAGAGGTTCCCTTGTCAGTGCGTGCGTATATTATATTTTATCGTAGATATATATCTGAACTCGCTTATACAAACGAGACCGATCCATATGAATTTTGTTAAAAATTTCTCGTGGACTGTATAAACAGATTTAGCATGTTTTACCTTTTAATTCCAGAGGGATTGCGTTAACAGCTTTTTTATATAAACTGATTGAAAAAATTAATAGCAGATACAATCAAGACTATTATTTATATATTATAGATATATTATGGACAAGTCCAAACGATCTCGACGACTTTATGGTGGCACAGTTCAAAACTTCCTTGTGATCTGGCTGGATGAGAATATCAACGAAAAGAAAAACACTGATTGTCAAAATGCAATTGTTAAACTACGAGAAGTGGTGAATGCAGTAAATACATTCACTAATATCGAAGAATGCGTTACTTTTATTACTGATATCAAGGTTGAAAAGGTCTTTATAATTTCATCGGATACACTTTGTCAAACAACAGTTCCAATGATCCATGATATGGCACAGGTTAATACTATATATATTTGTTCTGGGAATAAATCTCGACATGAACAATGGATAAAACAATGGCCTAAAATAAAAGGTATCTTCACAGACATTCAATCCATTTGTGAAGCACTGAAAAATGCTGTTCATAAATGCGATCGAAACACTATCTCGATGGGCTTTGTGCCCATGAATGTTGACACAACAACTAAAAGTCTTGATCAACTCGATCAATCTTTCATGTATACACAAATATTAAAGGAAATTCTCTTAACTATTGATTTTCAAAGAGAACATTTTCAAGTATTTATTACATACTGTCGTGAACAGTTTGTTGGCAATCCAGCGGAACTTCGTCATGTCGATAAACTCGAAAATGAATATCATCAACATACGCCGATCTGGTGGTATACAAACTTGTATTTTCTCTATTCTATGCTCAATCGAGCTTTACGACTAATGGATATCGATCTTATCATCAAATTAGGCTTTTTTCTGTCTGATCTTCATCAACACATCGCTCGCCTTCACTCGGAGCAAACTCATTCCGACACGCTCACTGTCTTTCGTGGTCAAGGTTTGTCTCAGACAGACTTTAACCAAGTGACAAAGACACAAGGTGGTTTATTATCGTTTAATAGCTTTTTATCGACCAGTCTTGACCGAAGAGTTTCTCTTGCTTTCGCTGAAAGTAATATAGATAATCCATATTTAATAGGTACTCTCTTTCAAATAAGTATTAATTCATCGACTTCATCAACTCCATTCGCCAATGTTCGTAATATTAGCTATTATCAAGACGAAGAGGAATTTCTCTTTTCAATGCATTCTATATTTCGTATTGGAGAAATCAAACAGATCGATGGCAATAATCGGCTTTGGCAAGTGGAGTTGACTTTGACAGGGGATCATGATCCACAACTGCACATATTAACTCAACAGATACGAGCAGAAACATCTCCACATGAGATTGGATGGAAGCGATTAGGTCAATTATTGATTAAACTTGGACAGTTTGACAAAGCACAGCAAGTCTATGATGTACTGCTTGTTAAGACATCAGATCATCGAGAGAGAGCCAACATTTATCATCATCTCGGAACGATCAAGAAAGGTCAAGGAGAATATGCAAAAGCAATGATGTATGCTGAAAAATCACTGAAAATCAACCAAAAATCTCTTCCTCCCGATCATCCCGACTCGGCTGTTTCTTACTACATCATCGGTTCAGCGTACCATAAAATGAGCGAGTACTCGAAAGCACTTTCATCTCATGAAAAAGCACTTGAAATTCGACAAAAAATCCTTTCTCCAAACCATCATGATTTGGCTACTTCTCACGAACGCATTGGTAATGTTTATTTTCGCATGGACGAGTACTTAAAAGCACTTTCATATTATGAAAAAGCACTTGAAATTCGTCAAAAAACTCTTCCTCTCAATCATCCTGATTTGTCTGCTTCTTACAACAACATCGGTCGGGTGTATTATTGCATAGATGAGTACTCAAAAGCACTTTCATATTACGAAAAAGCATTTGAAATTCGACAAAAAACTCTTCCTTTAAATCATCCTCATTTGGCTATGTCTTATAACAATTTCGGTGAAGTGTATATCAAAATGAGTGACTACGAAAAAGCTCTTTCGTATCATGAAAGAGCATTTAAAATCAGGCAAGAAACTCTTTCTCCAAATCATCCTGATTTAGCAAAATCTTACAGCAATATCGGTAATGTGTATTATCGCATGAGTAAGTATTCGAAAGCATTTTCGTATCATGAAAGGGCACTTGAAATCAGGCAAAAAGCGCTCCCTGAAAATCATTCTGATGTGGCTCTTTCATACAACAATATCGGTTTAGTGTACGACGACATGCACGAATATTCGAAAGCCTTCTCATATTATTCACAGGCTGTTGAGATTGGAGAATGTTCATTACCCGAGAATCATACTCTTCTCCAAGAATGGAAAAGAAACCTTGAAAATGTCAAAAAGAAATTGCAGGTGATTTTTGTTTTTGAAAATAAACAAATAATTTGAATAGAAAGAGTACATGCGTGTGCACAGAGAGACTCTGTTTTTGATGCGTGGATGTATGAGTATATAGTATATGATATCAGCACTACGCCAACATTCACACGCACTCTCAAGGTCAATTCTGTGTTATTAGAAGGTATATTCTCGTCTCCTTTTATCTAATTCCATTCTATCACTCTTACACTAATTCTGTTGGTTCACTTCAATCTTTGATATTTAAAGCTCACAAGCAACTCCAAATGTCGCTTGACCGAGCACCTAACTTTTATTCGTTGAGAGTTAGTTGTAGGACGCTGCTAACTTCATAACTGACACTGCTGAAAATCAGTAGCGTATTAATACATTGCTTTGATCTACTTCAATACACTAAACATAACGGCTGGAATTACTGTAATGATCAACAGTGTATTGCATTACGTAATTCTCTATTAGGCATTCAGGGTGGGTGTGGGTGTGCATGTATCTTCTCTTAGCTCACATGTGTGCGTGATGTGGGTATGTATATTCAGAAACGTTCTTTCTTCGTCCAATTGCCCACATCCTCCAAGATTTTGTATTTTTCTCCAGGAGAATTTAAAAGAGTCATGAAGAATTCGAGGACATCTACTGTAATTCAGGGAGAATGCATCCTATTCCGCGATGTTGAACATTGGAGGAATCAGTTCCGCACCGGAATTGATTCCGTCCAATTCCGGGAACTCGATCGACACACAACATAAGACACCCAGTCGAGATTGATCGAGTTCGACCGATTCCGGAATTGCACGGAATTCCTACCGATTCCGGAATTGCGGGAATCGGTTCCGATTCCGGAATTCCGTACCGGAATCCCGTACCGGAATCACACCATGCACCTCACCCACATCTGTTGTGTTGTGTTGATAAGTTATCCCGTTTGGATACGATCTAATTCCGTTACGGAATTCCGGGAATTGCATCAAGACGGAATTGAGTGGAATTGGACGGAATTCCTACCGATTCCCACCAATTCCGGAATTGCGTGAACTACTTCTAATTACGGAATTACACGGAATTCCTATCAATTCCGGAATTATACGGAATTCCTACCAATTCCGGAATTGGACGGAACTCGATCAGTTTTCGAGTGGGTATCGGATATTATGTGTCGATCGAGTTCCCGGAATTGAACGGAATCGATTCCGCAGCGGAACTGGTTCCTGAAATGTTCAACATTGCGGAATAGGATGACTGCTCAATTCAGGATTATAGAAGTCGTACATTTCTTTCTTCTATGAACAATAGTACGGATAAAAAAGGAATTAGGATGTGGATCAGTAACTGCAATGATCATGATTGAGTCCTTGTTCTAAGAATGTATCAGATGAGTGAACAATTCAATTGGTTACAGGTAAGTATCATTTTGGACCTTCACCTACATTCTCACCCACACCTACCTTCAAGTTTCTAGTTTTGATTTTATCTCCATAATTTATATGGAATTTTCTTGCGAACGCAAATAGTACATTCAAATCAGTCCGATATATGAGAATCATAATAATAAGGATGGGTGTGAGTTTAGATTCTTCTTTTAATTTCGCACATCAACCTACACCCTCAAGATTGAAAAACTAGTAAACATATTCTTATCTTTGTTCGATATAAAATAAATTTAATAAACAGATGAAATACAATAAAGGATATTTATGAAGAAATGTTCAAGGATTATTTGTATCAATGATTTAATTCGTACATAAAAATACACGATTTACACAGCAAGAACACATTCTCATACAAACACTGTTTACCAACTATGGTATGTATAAATGAACATGTATCTATCGATTCCTTTAATGTCTAAATTTTTATTTTGTCAATAATGCAATGTGAATGGGAACACAATGTACACAGTCTTGTCATCTTGATAGCCGAGTGTTCTTTTCTAAGGATATCTTGCAAATACAGTACCACCATTGGCGGTGCCATTGTTGGGAGCTGTTGTCTTCAGATAGCAGTTACTATTACCGAGAACGAACGTGAAGCTTCCGCAAGCGGCGTTGGAGAGACACAGTGCACAGCAAGTTGTCCAATTCGTGCTAACCTGGAAGCTGAGATTACAACAAGATAAGTCACCGTTGATTATCGTAGTCATGTTTCCACACGTATAAGGATCTATGTAGAAAATCAAATTATACATTGTCTTGATCTTTTACTCGTGATCATTGATGATGTATAGCACAAAATCAAGAACGAGAATGCATACTAAACTTACTCGGTGTTGTACTTGCGGTCGTGCTTGTGCTCGTGCTTGTGCTAGTGCTAGTGCTTGTACTCGTGCTCGTGCTTGTGCTAGTGCTCGTGCTCGTGCTTGTGCTAGTGCTAGTGCTTGTGCTCGTGCTTGTGCTAGTGCTCGTGCTAGTGCTCGTGCTTGTGCTTGTGCTTGTGGTGGAGCTGGTAGAAGTCGTATCAGAAGTTGAAGTTGTCGAGGTCGTGTCCGAAGTTGAGGTGAACGGTTTGGTGCTCATGGTCGACGTTGAAATGGTTGAGGTTGTCGGGAAATTTGTAGAAGCTGTAAATTAACGAACAAAGCCTTGAAGATTAGGAGAAAATCGAAATTCTCAGCACACAAAAAGTATGACTTGTGAACTTGATAGGAAAACAATAAAAATTGTTGCATATTTGGGAATTTTCTCAGTATGAATATACTTTTAAAATAAGTATCTCAAGATTCTGTGAAAAGCAAGTTATACATAGTTTCCAAATATTTAGCTAAAACTAGAGCATAGTGTTTAGATTAATTACGAACCTGTGATAGCTAACGTTGTACTATTACTTGTCATGTCATCGGTTGCATTCTTATGCTGTTGTAGCGTAATCAAACCCACACACACACCCGTCAAAGCACCAAGTATACAAGCGCCAAGAATGAACAACGTGATTCGACGTTTTTTTGATAGAGATTGTCTTTTTCTAACATTAATAAAATCACATAATACAGCGGATAGGTATTGAAAAAAAGAAGAGAAACTTACATCGATACCAGTTTCTTGGACGGTATACAATGAAGCCGTTTCATGCTCAAGTGAATCCGTTTTGGAGAAAGAGCCTGCAAGACTTACAATCAATATCTGTAAATATGTTAGGTACTATAAGACATACTTCTCTATTAGTTTGATTTATTGTCATGTTCGTTGTTTCGGACTGATTTGAGATACTGCTACCTATTCGGTGGACTTTTGAAAATGCAAGTGATGTCTTATGACATCTCTTCATCTCTTAAAATTAAGTAATGTTTTATTACATTCTAATGGATACCATCTAACAGAAAATTTAATAGAACAGCAATGAGACAAACATTGTGATAGAGTCACTTAGAAGCACATAAAATACAATTATTGTTCCAAATAGTTGATGATTTATTGTTTGCGTAAAAAGTACGCGTCTCAAAGCTTTTAATCAAAATATCAGATGCATCTCATGATTGTTGGAGTAATGCATAGTCAGAACTTAATCACAAATAGTACAAATCGATTCCACACAGATTCAGAACTATTTCATCCAAAACAAGGGTATGGGTGTGAGCTGAGAGAAGAAACACTTACACCCACCTCTTCCAGCATAAATACAAGATGTTTAGCGATATAAATAATATTATTTAGGCAACATTTTTATTATTTACTTTCTAAAAAATATTCAAAGCTACGAGTTTATAGTGAAATTGAGTTACGATCGAGTATATCATTACTGATTGTTCAATTTCTTCTCAAAAGGCGTGAGGTTCTCGTTCCATGGCCACTTCATGCCAAAACCCTTGACTGTGACAAATGCCTATGAAGAATAAAAATCATCAGATGATAAATGAACAAAACAAGGAGCGAAACGCAAAGAACTTACGGCAGTTGGAGGGATGAGACCCAATAGAGTGCCATGAGGACATGGTCTACCAGACAGATATTCCATAACTCCTGACATGAGGGGAAGCATGTACATCGACTGGCATCCTTGCAATTCCGGATATGCCTGCAAACAGTCAGATAGACAAGTGGTGCGAAAATTAATACACGCTAAAAGAATAAAATAGAGCGATAGTGTACCTTTGATGTGAACGCGCCCACGCGGTCTTTATGATATGGGTTAGCGTATGCATCCCATGCAACGTATACCATGATGCCAGTGAACGCAAATCTGATAATTAACAAAGGATGACATTTGAGCTGCATTAAATTGCAAGGGAGAGAAAAGGAGAGCACTTACGTCACTATATGGAAGAGATATGGTCCCGGAGTGCGCATAATTGAGAGTTTTGTACCAGCTGGATACTTCATTTTCGGTAGCAACACCTTGTTCCACATATCGATCGACAGGTGGTCCGCAATCGCAAGCGGCAGCCCAATAGCGAAGATGTGTGCAGAGCGCGTACCCCACCTGTAAGAAAATGATATTGTAAAGCAACAAGAAACGCGACCTTAATTGGTCAAAAATGTAAGAAAAACACAAAAAATAGAGTATAATGAAAGAGGATATGAAAAAAGCATACCATTCAGTATTAACTTCACGACCAATCAATCTGTTAAGAAATCCATAGTCGAGCTTCTTATCTGGAAAAAGAATGTGATTGGACAAATAGTTAGCGGTCACGAACGTGCCATAGGTTACACCAATGCGCTTAAGTAGTGACATGTTGAATCTACAAGAGAATGAAGAAAACACATTGCAAGTCAAGATTTGTTTTTTTCTCTTCAAACTACCATCTCTTGAAAACAATGCAATTATAATAAAGAATATATATAACAGAAATATTTATTTTATACCGTAAAGATAAAGTGACACCATTAATCAACATCCGTTGTAGAATTAAATTCTGCATCCAACTGATTCTTTTAGAAACTAATATTAAAAGAAAAAAGACGAATTCACTGCAAATATTCGGTACATGTGAGAAGAAAAAAAATGTGAAGATATACATAAACGCTGCGCTTCACACCATAATAAAATGTAAGATGCATAAAATGATATAGTATCGAAGTATAAAATATTGGACGAACAAAAAATCGTTCTATACATCGTTGTATGGGCGCACACAGTCGTCTTCGATTGTGCGTTGTCGATATGAAATAGTAGATAAAAGAAAAAGAAAGGTAATAAATGTACAAAATAAAATAACGAAAAGGAAAGGAAAGGAAAGAAAAAAAAGAAAGAGAACGAGCTCATATATATCATACCTATAACATATACGCAAACTGAAGTATTATTTTTTCATTCTTGTCTATCATTTAGACAAAAGAAAATTATTTTACTTCGCCTGGTCGAATCAATTTTTTTCGATTAGGAAAGAATATATATTCTTATGTAAATGCGAGACGTAAATTAGATACGTCTGCACTGGACTAAAAGTGTTGATCTGGTTATGATTTGATATTAATTCTTCTACTAATAAACTTTTACACTGTAAAGTAGAAAAACAGTTAAAACTTTTCATTTTCACAATATATGTTGTATATCTAATTGACTTATAACCTTAACTTTGTTATTGGCGCGTGGATGTGGACGTGTGACGATTACCTTTATCAGACACTCACACCCTTCACCAATTAAAACAAACGAATTTTTTTCATTTTCTTTTATTTCAAATTCTTGCAATTACATCAATTCTTAAACATATTATGTATTTCTTTTCAAACAGCTAATCCGATCTTTTCTAATTTCCATTGTTGACACTCACTATTTGACCAAGACCATTGCTGAACAATGATACCACCAACGGTAGTACACATTTGCACATCAAGCGATTGATTCAAAGCATGTTTTGGTGTTATACGATAATATCCATTCGAAAGCAATTCAAATTTCCACTTTTGACAATCAGAATCTAACCAATCATATAATTGTAATACACCTCCATCATTTGGATTGCAACCATATACATTGAGTACTCGAGTAGCAGCACGATTCTTTATACGATAATAACCATCAGTGAGTGATTCAACAATCCATTGCTGATTAGTACCACCTGAATACTGTGATTGACTAACAAATGCAGAATTTTGATCACCAATTGCATAAAGACCTGATTGTGGTGCATATTTTGGTGTAATCCGATAGACACCTCCAATTTCAGTTCCAGCTGTAGTTGAAGTCCCCGAGCTTGAATTAGTACCATTCTTTAATCTAATAATACTAACTGTGTCGGTTGCATTGAAGTTGATTTGATTGTTATTGATTGAAAGATTGATAGTTTGAAGATCGGCATTGTTATTAAAAGTATAAAGTGTAGCATCGGCAAGTATATAATCATTTTGTAAACTGAGTTGAAGTTGTTGTGGAAGTGAATACAAATCAAATTTATGTGCAACATCCCAACTTGATACTTCATTCCATATCATCAAATAAAAATCACCATTACGTTTTTGAAAAAGTAATTGTCGAACATTAGTTAAATTACCAGTGAGTGTATAAGTCAATGCATTTGGTGCAAAACTTGATCCTTTATCATTTAGTATTGATATTAAATTTTTCACTGCTCGAAATGATGGTTTTTCCGTTAAATTATTTCGTAATAAACCAAAGAATCCTTCTCTATCTGGTAGTGCTTGATCTACAAGTTCATATTTATAAGTACGATAAATACCACGACGAAAGAATTCAGCTAATATACGAAGTGTATATTTTCCATCAGCTTCTTCCGATATACCACCAAGTTCAGTAAAAGTAGTATGACCAGTTTCAGTAGCTTGAATAGGTTTACGAGATGGTGATTGTTCTGGTGCCAAAGTATTAAGAAACCAATCGATACTATAAGATCCATTACTATCAAATCCACTGAAACCTGGCCAATAAGTCCAATAATACATATGTTGATTCCCATAGTCAATATATGAATCTAAACTACCCACAGCATGATATGTTTCGAATGTTCCAAATGATGGTCCGATGACAGAGAAATTTTTCAATAATGGATCAGCTTTTACTTTATTATATAGAAGCATACTATAATTTCTAATCGTTGATACCCAATCAGCATCGGGACCATGTGAATGATCATATTCATTAGGAGCTTCTATTGCAGCTACTGTTTGTAATGCTAAAGTTTTAATATCATTCAATTCAGCATCAATTTGTGTTGGATCGAGTGGAGCTGGCCAATAGCCAGGTATCCATCGTCCAGTTAACATATTTGTTTTGATTCCAAAACTATTGTAAAGATCATTAGCTCGAGTAAAAACATCTGAAAAAGTTCCATCACGAACATAACGAATACCAGATTCACCCAATTTATTTCTTAAAGTAGCATAATTGTTAGAATATACCCCTGTAAATGCCCAATGAGTGTTAACACCAATACTTTCAACAAATGAATCACTTTGAAAAGCTGTTATAGTTTCAGTTGATATCATTGGACTTACTGCAATCATTAGTAAACACCAACATCGTATTGGGCTAAGAGCACTGCAAACTAAAATAAATTCATCAGTTTACATTTAGAATCTATGCCTTTCATCGTATTCTTCTACACTTACTAATCATTGAAAAACTATTACCTTATAAATGTTCGGTATTTCGTATATTGAATAAAATATTCATTTTTTCTTGCTTTATATAGTGTGTGAAACCTTATTCCTAAGTATGTACCCAGAGAAAAACAGAATAGGGTATTTATTGATTATAATTGATTTCTGAAAAGAATAGAAAATGAATAGAAAAGATTAAAAAACCAATTTCTTTTCTCTTCAATCATTTTAATATGGATGTACTTTTAAATATCTATTTAACTGTACTTATTCTTTCCATTTTTCTGAGTACTTCATGTTCTTGAGGGTGTGGGTGTGATAGTGGGCGATATTGTGATGTTGATTTGAGTGAAATTGAATAACTACACACTTACACCCACACCCTAAATAATGTAAACCCTTTCATTGCTAGTAACACGAATGATTAAGATTCTTTCGATCGATTCAAGATTGTGAATATGAGGAAGAAAACATTTTTCATGACAACTTTTATTTTTATATAAAAATCATCAACTGATTTAAAATTTGAAAGTGTTGGCATATGTCGCTTAATATTATTAAAATCGGGGACAAACCAAGTAAAAAGGGAAGTAGACTATGCGGTTTTCGTTTTGAAAAACAAAAAATATATTGTGTTAAAGTGAAGATTCGTGATTTGCTTATTTAATCAATTCTTTTTTTTCCAACTGACGCAGGAGAAAAAACAATACGATCGTGATTTTCGGTGAAAATAAAGAAAGGAACAAAAGAACGACAAATTTTTTCAAGCTATTTATATGGCAAAAAGTATGTCAGTCCTTATGAAGAATTTCAATCAACATAGTTTAAAAAGATACAAAATCTTTTTCTTTTTCACTGAAATTATTTCTTGTATACGCTGATTAGTAATTTTATTTAGATATATATATTAAAATATTTCAATGGGAGCACCAAGTAGCAAAATCGATCCACAACTACTCGAAGATATTAGCACTCTCGCTAGCGACGCAGCCACCAGCATTCCAACAAATTACGCAGTAAGTTACTCGACTAAATAAAACGAAGTATTTCCACTCAACAGTGTTTTTCTTTATAATATTTAGAAAGAAAATGCACGTATCGTTATCGAGATGACAAAAGCATCACCAGAACCTTATGAAGATCTACTATTATCGGATTATCCAGAGAAAAATTTATCAAAAATAAATGCATTGGCTCTCAAATATGCGACAACAAAAGAAGCAAAGCAGCAGATTTCTAATGATATCAATGAAAAAATGAAACCAAAGGTTGAAGCAAAAATAGCTAATTTAAATCCTCTTGCACAAAAAGCTGTACGTAAAGCTGTGAAAAAATCTATTGAAGAAGCAGTTGACAAATCTGTGGACGAAGCAATTAAAAAAATTGATACTAAAGATAAACCAACAAAATACGAAAATCATACTACTGATAGATCAATCAAATCAGAAAAACAATAAAATATTCACTCTTTTCTGTATTGTGTTTTAATCCTGAATAAATTTGTTTGATTTTACATTAAAAATAACTAAGGTGCGGGTGTGGGTGTGGATATCGCTATGTTAGAAAAAGAGACCCATCACCCACATTTACATTCACCCACACCCTCAAGATGAAAGTGACGAGCAATCAATTTATTCGTTTCTAAATGTTACACAAAAAAAATTTGCATAATAAAAAATTCAAATTCAACTTGTATCATTTGTTGATCTATTTATTTTCATAACGCTAACGATTATTTAGAAACGTATATGATAAAATAAGATGATAGTGAGTCACACTGTTGACGACCGAGGATATTATATTTAATCATCACTTTTTATTTTATTTTAAGTTAGAGAAAAGAAAATAGGCATTCTTTTTTGTTCTTTAAATAAGAAAAGAAAATGTTTCCTTTCTGAGAAAAATAAGGAATAAACATTAGTATTGTTAGAAAGGACGAAAAAAGTATTTTCTTTTTTCCATTTATAGAAGTTACTAACAATGCGATGTATCCGAGGCGGTACACGTCAGAACAGGTTGAAAGAAAAAGAGAAAATAGGGCAGAAAATGGTGATTACTATGACAGCGCTTCTTTTGCAACAAATAGTGTTGATGAATTGCTAGTTTTTTTTGTAGTATAAGCTAACATGACGATGAAAATTAATTTTGATTTAGTTTTTTTTAGTTTCCTGAAAATGGGAGGTTGTCAAGCACGCTCCACCGTTGATCCACGATCTTATGAACGTCATCCTCGTGTTATAGCACCAAGACTATCATCTGATAGTGGCACCGAAAGCGATGATTCAATTGTAAGTAACAGTGGTTTAGTACAAATACTTGATGAAATGGTCACTGATATCAACAATAATACATTAAAATTATGTGACTTTCGTACTCGGTTATCAGAAAAAAATATTAAAGCAGATAAATTTATTGAACCTATTTTAATAGACCATGAATTCATTTTATTACTGGCACGAACTATCAAAACTATATTAGAAAAATGGGATTCACCTGAAACACAATCATTGAGTGAATCTGACAAACTAATCTTTCGTAATGCTGCAATATTCCTCGCCGAAATTGCGGAAAATTTCAATGTAACAACATCGCCCAGACTCTTTCGTTCATTTCTATGTACTATGATGTTTCTTGACGTGATGCAACAATGCCTAGAAGATATGGTATCGAACGGCAAGCACCTAATGAATAACGATGATAATTACAATTTAGAAAGTTTTATTTACCTTCTGAACATTTTTCAGAACTTCAAAACGCCCTCCAGTCAATCGGCTGATGAAGTTAAATCAGTATTTAAATTACTTACATTAGTCAGTGATATTATTCGTTCAAAATATTATTTTGAAACATTTTTTCAATTATCACATGATGCATCCGAATTCAACACCGTGCAGCAATTTATATTAGACAAATGTCCCGTATTTTTAAATGCATACACAGGAATACATTCTTTTGAAATACATGATACATTACTCGAACAGATATTTGATCAATGCGTACAAATTTTAGAACATTTTATTCCGAATATTGAAACATGGAAGATACCAGTTATTCGTGCCATTACTCATATTGTTGATATTATGGTGAATGCATCATCTACTACCCAAGCACATATTTTTCAACAACCAAAAATAATTGATTATGCCTTAACTATACTTCGTAATCAAAAACTTTGCGCAAGATTACAATCGAAAACTATGAATCCTGAGATATGGTTGATTAATTCAACTCTTACTGGTTTACATAATATGATTTATGATGCTAAACTTTTAGCTATTTTGAGAAAAAAAACGCTAACATCAGTTTTCATACAAATAACTAATACTGCTAAGTATGATCGTATTCGAATTCATGCATATCTCATCCTAGCTGGCATTTTAAGTGAAGTCGAAATAAAAGAACTCAATAATGCAAAAGAAATCACTATGATTTTCTTCAAATATTTGAATAAAGCAATGGAATCCAATCAAAAGATGTATAAAGGTGTTACTTTAATGGCAATGCTTTGTGGATTAAAAAGTAAGAGTGTGCACCAAAAAAAAACATAGGTGACTTGCGAGTTTTTCAGAATCTGAACTATTTAGATAACTAATATTTTATGTTTCTTTCGATCTATTTGAATTTTGTATCATTTAGCTCTTGTTCAACACGATGAAATTAAGAATACAATTCTTGCTCAAGATCCAAATTTACAATTACTCTCGAATATTATTTTTAAAACTAATAATCAAGAATTAGCTCATGGATTAAGTATTCTATGGACATTATCGTTTAATAAAGAGGTAGCGGCAACAATTCTCAACAAATCTGAACTGATGAATAAAATTCGAAACTTAGCTGAAATTACAAAGCATGATATCGATAAAGACATATCAGCTGAAAATATTAAATTAACCAACGTCATATCAAGTGCAGCACAAGGAATTTTATGGCAAGTTTACGATAGAACTACTGATGTTGCTGATAATAAACCACAGAAGAACACAGAAGAAAACATGATTACTGACAAATCAATGGATTTACAACATTCGGATATACACTCACCGGTGGCATTAACAAAGAAGAAATATGATGTTATGATTAGTTATTCACATGATGATAAACAACTTTGTCATAAAATTGCTGATCAATTACTTAACGATGGATTTACAGTTTGGATCGATAGAAATAATATGACTGGTTTAACGCCAGCGGCTATCGCTGATGGAATCGAGAATAGTGAAATTATTATACTTGGTATGACATATAGTTATAAAATTAGTCCCTGGTGTCAACGCGAGGGAAATTATGCATTTCAACGTCAAACGAAAATTATTCCATTAAAATTACCACCAGCCTATCATGCAGATGGCTGGCTTGGTCTACTCTTAGCAAATTTAAATTATGTTAATTTTACTAAACATCAATTTGATATTGCCTATGAACAACTAAAAACAGAAATTGAAAACTATCGAAAACAAGTGATCAATTCTCCTCACAGGAAATTATTTTTAGAAGAACATGAGACACCTTTGAACACAAATGTTACACATGAGGCTAATACTATACGCAAATTGGATCACAATGAACATCATTCTCCTGTTCTTTCTCGATCGGATGCTCTTTATACATCAATTCCAATACAGAATTGGACACAACAGAATGTGATGGATTTTTTAAATGACAAAAAGTTACATCAATTTATTCTACTTTGTAATGACATGGATGGACCTGCATTACAACAATTATATGCATTTTGTAATAATAATTCAACTACAGCCTTCGAATCTTTACACAAACAATTAAAGAAGAAATCAATCGATGATGATCTATCTCCAATTGAATACACACGTTTTATTAGTGAAATGAAAAAATTATCTATTGATGTTCCACCTCCACCTCCTGTACGATCAGGTGCCTGCACAATAAGCTAAAATATTTTATGATTATCCAATCGTATGCTTTCTTAGAAACTCAAGACACTGATAAACAGAACTATATATTCATGAATACTTTAAAAATTTATAATATTTTATGTATTTTAATCTTTAATATTTTTATTAATACACAAACTGCGATCTTGCTGAGTCAAAAGTAATATACTTAGGATATGAGTGTAAATGAATAATGATCATCCACACTCTCAATGCAGTCTAATTTTGATATAGAATTACTACAGTAGATATAATATCACATATATATCAAAATCGATCTGATGAGATCTTAACGCTATCTTTCCTCTTTTCATCTATGGCTTTCCACATCTGTATCCTTCTGTGTGATGATTGTTATTGTTGAGGGGGTGGATGTGTGGATCAATGCGTTTGAGTAGAAGAATAGCAACTAAGGCACACGCTCACGATATTAGAACACAATATCTGGCTGATGCATTACAAAATAATATGATAATTCACACTCTCTCAATCTCTTCTATATCTTTATCAATAGTTTTTTTACATAGATACTTATCATATTAGATCTCGAAGGAAATGAAACTAATTGATCGGAATCAGAAACTATGACAAAGATATTCTAGTTACATATAAACAATAATCGATTCGTGTGTAAATAACTGTTCCATTGTGTGAATACCTTATATTTCGTATACAAATACTGTTTGTTGATTAGTAATATTTAAGAGAGATAAATAATTGTTATTGGTGAATTTTAAAATGATATATGATTCTGTAAAACTTCATCAAATGAAATAAACTGTAACAATAAATCATAAGTATCAAATATCAATTAAAAAAATATTTCCAAGAAGAATAATCTTAAAAGATTTCAAATAGAAACTAATCTGTCTATCAATTATTCCAAGAAAGATGATACATCGAATAATTCTAAGAAGTAAAAAAGCCACTGTCAAGAATCGATTAAAAAAATCGAAATTATATTTATTTTCATTTAGCTATAAATTTCTAAAATTTAATTAAATGAATAGACAGATTCTAGACATAAAATAATCGTAGACAAATCATTATAATAGAATGTGAAATGTTTGCGACAAGTAAATGATATATAATTCACAATTTTTAATCCTTTTTGATAATTACCATCTGATACATATTATATTCATATCAGTATATATATATATAAATTTTCAAATATTATTTAGCATTTGTTTTTCTTTTTCATATTCAATTATTATCAAAGGTAAGAATAAACTATAATCAATTGTTAAAAACTATTTTATTATAGAGAAATAATGTATGCAAAACAGTTCTTTTCATATTTACGTATTTTATTATTTATCATTCAAATGACAATCGCAATGGACACGTCAACTTATCGTAGTATGTAGAACATGAAAATATTTTTTTATTCTATATTTCAATCAATTATTGTTTTTCAGTCAAGTATAATCATGATATTCATACGACTACGTTTCCAAGTTCTCGTTGTAATGTATCCGATTATTACAGTCAACCTCATTGTAGACACCATTGTCAAAAATATGGTTACACAAGTGGTTATTGTATGGAATTTGAGAATACTATGCGTTGTAAATGTTCTCCCTAATCTATTTGATTTACATATATTCAAGATTTTTATTTATTTGCTGTTTGATTTTTTTTCTTCAAATCTAAATAATAACCGAAATTTTATTTTAAAGATATGAAGTAAAGATAAAAGTATCATATATATATTTATCGAATATCTATATTCAAATAGAATAAAAAATTTGCTCGGAATCATTTTTTCAACTATTAATATGGAATTCACACATACTGATGATAATAAATGGAATGAATCAATAAGAGACACCCTTCATATTTTTCGAGTGATTAGTGTGTCATATTCGTCTGTTTTTCATGGACAAGCGGCTTAGTAACTATTTGATTTGGTAATGACAGGATCGATTGTTTTCGATCAGACATTTATTTCGGCGAAAGTGGAATCAATTGATATTTGTTCTTGGTGAAAATGGATTAATTGAAAATATTTTCCAACTATAAAAGATATTTTTAGAAATTTGGTAAAATATAATTAAAATCTTTCGTAGAGTAACATAAAAAAATATTATTCTTATTTTAACATCATACGTTGAAATTTTTATGAGTTCTCTTCCTGTGCATGTAGGTAAGAGGTCGGTATAGCATTCCTATTTCACCCGCAATTGCACTTTCAACTATTTGAGTGACAAAATTACATATTTCACCTGTACGTCATTGTACTTTTGAAAAATGTTGAGGCAGATGAAGTCTCGCTTGAAAATTATTCATTTGATCGACTCGTTCGCAATGCTTCTCTTTTCGTCATATCACTAACATCTGTCTGATGAAGTCACGTTTTGTAATGTACTTTTTTTCTTGTCCTATCGGTCATGATTGATGAGAAATACCGTTAAAATTGTTACTCATAAACACCTACGTATTTTGTAACGACTATTAAATTTTCTTCTCTAACGAAACAACTATTAAAGGGTTCGCTTAAAACAACATCGATATCATATTTTATTACATTTCTTCGTAACAGTCGATCATGCAGCATCGTCCAATAACTGGAATGGGTCTCAAAACAGAAGTTCATTATGAGACTGTGGCTGCTCGAATGGAAAATTATATACACCATGGACCACAATATGCCAACGATTATTATCCGCGAGAAAATGCCCCCCACATGCAGCCTGCACATCACCACCATCATCATCACCATCGCCACCTTGCTCCATATTTCGATGATGATGCCGAAGCTGGAGGTTTTTCTTCTTATAGAGGTCATCAAAGATTTCCACATGCACATTGGCATATGATTCCACAGTACATATAATGACCAATCGAATGAGAAGGACGAACGAAGTTGTCTCTTTTAAAGATATTGAATTTCGTTCAATCGATGTAAACGTTTTTTTGTTGATTTGATTAGTAGAAAAAGAAAAAAAAATAATATTATTCATTTTCATTTTTCTCTAATTCATTATATTTTTTTCCGGGTTTTTAGAATAAATCCAATTTATTGTGCATGATACTGTATCGAAGAAGAAAACTCATTTAATTATCTTCCTATGAATTAATTCAGAATTTAACAATAGACAGTATATAGAGAAAAGATAAGAAACGGCAGATGTTGATTGAACTAGATAATTCAAAAACTGCTTATGGTCAAAACAACGATACATGTAAATACTTCTGAACAGAAGAGTAGTTAACCAATTCAAGTTCACACTTAAAAATGACCAATGTTTTTCGTAGACTACATGTGCTCTCTTGTAGAGTAGTTTTCCCATTGAAATAGTCCTACGGTTATTGATATACAGGAATAAAGAAATGTGTGAGAGATTTTTTTCTATATATATTATCACAAGCAATATTCGTTAAATAAACAACCAATAATCGCTTTACGTGAAATTTCTCCGTTCGGTCGAACGAAGGAAAGATAAAAACATGTGCTGATCGGTGCATTCTTTGTACTTTTATTTATAATTTTCGATTCGTGATGCAAATAATCGAAAAATATTATCGTTTAAAAGCTTCATTCACGGACTGATTGCTGTTTTTTTATTAAGATAAAAAAACGACGGCTGACGCATCAGTAATCACTGCAGTAGAGTTGATATAAAAAAAAGCGTATTTATCAATGTTTTATTTATTCATTCTTTTTCGGCTTTAATTACCGTTAAGTATTATTTAACAGTAAGTGAAATCGATATTTCAACCTGCTTCAAGATCAGTTCAATACATTAAAATCCTCTTATATATTATTTATATAGTAGAATAAGCTTGAATTCTATAAGTGAGAATTTTGCTTTCGAACATTCATGAAATGAAAATTTGTATGAATGTGTTAAATTTTGTCACGAAATACAATATAGCAAGTTAAATTTGAACGCATTAAAATCATGTGTAGAACAAACAGAAAAAAAACGAGTTATTTTTGTCTCAAATTGTCGCACTATTACCAGTTCCCTTCAACGCAATGCGCTATTACGCAACTACGAAAGCATTAATAACTGTTTGGGAAGCACTCTTTCTGAATAACAATATGTTTCTTCTCTTTTCACGAATTTCGGTAGATGATTTTTGAAGTCGATGACATAATCATTTAGTTAAGCTTCTTTTTTTATCGTTGGTACACTTGTTTTATGTATCCAGCTTAAAAATCACTTTAACATGTTCATTGTTTTTTCTCCTTTCCTTCAAATGGATTTCGATTTCACTGCCAGCTCCAAACGAATTTTTTATTTTGTAATGACGAAGATGAATTTGTTGTTACTGTTGAGATGGTTACTTTTTCAAGAGAATACTTATTTGGAAGAAGCATATGAATTAGAAGACTCTTACAAGAAGACTAAGTTTTTATTAGTGAAATGATACAACAAAGTAAAATATTCAGAGAGTACTGTTCGTCCTTTCGATGTACAGTACGTCTTTCTCTTGTAGAAATAAGAATTGAATATTAATATGCTTCTGTTTTTCTTATTCTTTCATTTTTCTTTTTTTTACTTCAACTATACTCAATCACTTAAAATTTTTATGTTTATCGAAGGTGACAGAAAAAAAAGTACTCATAATATTTTACTCTTTTTTGGGAACTAGCACCCATGACCGGTTCTTTTGATATTAAAAAGCGGTTCGAAAGCTTCACAAAAACTTTTCTGAAAATATTACGTTTGTGGAATGACTTTTGCAAAAATTTGACACGCAAGCAAGAGCATTTCAAACTGAAAGTTCCTTTATGTAGCAGTGTTAAGGGATCAACAAAGTTTCTCAGCAATTCAAGATTTTAGCCACAAAACTTTATTTTCGCAACATAGATAGAACATGATGAGCTGCATCGAATGACGTTTAAATGAATTCTCTAGTCTTAGTAATTCTCGAAATAATTTAAGAACATTGTCAGATACATAATAACGTTGCATGTAAACAAGTCAATTATTGAATGTTATAGTTATAAAAACGTTGTTTTTTTTAAGAACAATATGCTTTCAACAGCAACAATGCTAGGCTAATGTTTTTCTTTTCTATACAACGATGAGAAAAAATAAAAAAAAATAAATGCTTTTATAAGAAGCAAAAGAAATACATAAACTCGGCTACTTATTTATTCTGTGTGTGTTATTGAAGGATATTTGTTTTTCAGTAGTCACGCGAAACAGCCGTGAGTGAAACTAAGGTACGCATTGCTGTGTTAAATTTGTACAATATACCAGTTTATATTTTATCATTACATCCCCGATTAGTAAGAATTCTCATGACTGAAAATTCTGTTTTTTCAGTTTATCAACTTTACGTTAAATGTATCATTGAGTAAAAAGGGACAAGAGATTTTCAAATGGTTATCATTGCAGAGCGAAAACAACACATGAAAATATCATTCTTGGGTTAGTTAAGAAGAAAAAGAAGTATACCATCCTTTTCGACTACCTTGCAATACACAGCCCTCTCCGGAGACAGTTTCAAAAGTCCGGTATTTTCTCTGGGTTGGTGAATGTTGAGCACAAGAAAGTTAAGCACAAATAAAATAAAATAAGTCTGATCTCTTATAAAAGATCAATCAAGGGTGTGGGTGATTGCAGGTATTATATTTATTTCTAATTAACACCCACACCCTTCTTAGGACTTTTTACTAATATTCAAATAAGCATTGGTAAAGTACTTTTCAGAATTGAACTACAATGACATCATTGCCCGAAACTACTCTTGATGATGTTCGTATCGACTTGAATTTGAATAATCCGCATAATATACAAACAGTAAGGTACATAAATCCATCATCACAATCAAGACCTCAAAATGGTAATGGGCATCAAGCTTCTAAATCGTAAGTATTTCAATTTTCTTCTGCAACCTGCTGAATAATTTTTCGAAATAAATTATACATTCACTGTAAAGAGTAGCATGTTGATCTCACTTATAGCAGCAGGTTCTACAATACAGATCTCTGTCGATGAACCGTGAAACGAACATAGAAGAAAGACAGCATTTGGTCTTTGAGGAGAGCATAGATGAGGTTAACTTATTTCAGTTAAGTCTCTTGATTTATGATTAGAAAGGAACCACGAGAAAAAGACTGTTCCGCCTGCAGTGTAAAAAATCTCGGCATTGCACGGTAGCGATGCAAAAGCCGAACAATTTATTAAGTAGATGCACTCTGAGTGAAACATCAATTTTCAATGAGACACTTTTGTACACTCTATAAAAGCTAACAGATAGTCTGATTTTTGTGGCTCAGATGCATAAATGAGAGCTACGATTTTTAGGACGGATTCTTTTTCTTGATGTATGAACAATACTGAAATCAGACGTGACTACCTTCTAATTTTTGCACGAGATCTCCATTTTGTTTTATTATTTTCAATAGATCTAGTGGGCGCTGTTCGAAACCTTGCCTAATTGGGCTTGGTATTGGTTTGGCAATTGGTGTGTTACTCGTGATTGCTATTGCAGTTCCAGTTGGTCTCACCAGAACTTCTTCATCGGGTAAGTAGAAAAACTATCTTGAGGGTGTAGGTGAATATGTTATACTCTCAAAGGGCGCATTATCTCGACGTGGGTCAGAGCGGAGCTGTTGGTCGTAGTGTTCCCTAGTATCCCTATCAGTCTCTCGTAAAGTCCAGTAATACCTAGTAGTTCCTGGTAAGTCATGAAAATCATTTTTAATAACTTTTAGTAATCACATAAATATATATTTAAAATATATTTATCCATAAGAGACACGTATCATGTTTTAGAATGTATAAAAGTTTTGAATTACTTAGTAATTCATTTTATACATGAATTCAAAAAATAGATCAGTGAAAGTGGAGTTTGAGCGGTGTTCCCTGGATCGCCGATCTCTGATTCATATCTACCCTTCGCCCACTGTAGTTTTTGCAATGTTTTTAATATTTTATTCTTCTTCTGTTTTTCAGACTCATCTGATACGGTGACAACGAATCAAGTCAATAGTGGAACGACATCCCAAGTTACAACTACTACAGGTACAGACTTTAGAGAACGATGAAATAATTAGTTCTCACGAGAATAGTGTGGAAACACGTGATAACTAAAGACATCATAGATTTCACCACAAAATAATCCTTTAACGAATTTTGAAAGAACTGAATAAAGAATATGTTTTTACTTTTTGTCTTCTTCTATTTTTCAGTGAACACTACAAACTTGCAGTTAGTTCAAAACTGCATTGGGCAGGATATTACTAGACAACCGGTAATCATCGATACTGACGTTGATGTTGATGATTTATGGGCTATTCTTTATTTGATTAATGTAAGATATTTTTGTTTCACTTCTTCTTATTATTGTTGTTGTTGTTGTAATTAAAGGTTCCAACGGTTGATATTCTCGCCATTACAACTGTTGGAGATGGGTTTAGGTAAATTTAAGTCATATCTATGTTTAAACAAGTCTCTATTTTATCAGTGCACCATTGTATTCGTCGAGCAATGTTCTCAGTCTTCTGGGATTAGTTGGTTGTACAGATGGTATTCCAGTCGCTAGTGGATTTAGGTTATCATTTTGTAATATATAAATTATTTTACTTTTAATTTCTTTATCTTAAAGTGTATCATCATTATCAACTGGCTGGACTGTAGCAAACTCAATCCTTACAGGAATCGATAACTATCTGACGTCATCCTCTTGTCTCAATCAGTCGACCGACATTTTTCTGCAACCATCACCATTTGATGCAGTTGAGTTGATTATCTATACATTGAAATATTCACAGCGACCAGTAGATATTTTGGTTCTCGGTCCCTTCACAAATATTGCTGCAGCTATCACTCGAGATCGCTCAATTGTATCGAAAATAGGAACACTTTATGTTTCTGGTTAGTAGTTTAAATGAACTTTGATTTAATTTATTCTAATGTCTTTGTTTTTGTAGGTGGCCAGTTCAAATCAATATCTGATTATCCAACACTTATACCGAACCCAAGCTTAGGAACCTATCCGTATTTGGTAAAACCATCAGGCACTAGTTCAAATGTCTTCTTAGGTAAAAAAAGGACATTCGTTCTATTGCTGATCATTTTCAATATTATGTTTTTAATAGTTGATATAAATTAGGAGCGTAATCAAAGAAGAGCTAGATAAGATTCAGTCACAGCTTCGCGTCCCTTCCCATCTTCCTCTTCAACACATATTTGTCTAAATCCATTCTGTACTGAACTTTTCAACCCCTATAAATATTCTTTCTTTATATTTATGTGTGCATTATTTCTATTTGAGATTTACTTGCTGTACAACGTGTCGATGATAGTGGAATCAAAAATTATGTTGCGATGCCATCAAGTATACAACATTTACTGCCTGCCAATCTAAGCCAAGTCGACATGAAATTAAAAGCGTTAAACATTACATTATCACCATTCATATACAAATTAATAACATCCTTAGCGAACTGTACCAATCAAGCTGAATCGGCTATTTCTTGGTGAGTTCGACGGGATATTTTTCCATGACCAAATACATTGTTAACTGTTTTTCTTTATCTAGGTGGGATAATAGTGCAGCTCAGCTGATGGTTCAGATGCAGAACAATAACACAAACGGTTTTTGCACAACATTACAAAACGTTCAATCGCTGTATATCTTATCGGCTGATTCGGATCAATTATTTGGACAAGGCTTAATTGA